GGAAGCGGAATTGATTTCTGCAGCATAACAATTCTCAGAAAAAAATGATGAATTAAGGCCGAAAATACGACAGGTTGAGACAATTATCTGGTGCATGAGTGGCTTGCTGCTTATGTGTGAGTTTGGTGAGTGAAACTGCTGGGACTTTGGATGGTAAATGCCAGTTTGGACTAACAAAGTTTGTAAGAGTATAGACACAATGGAAGAATAGAGCAATAGCCTGCCAATGAGCCAGTGATAGCATAGAAAAATCCAGAATCTGATCTCTAGTCTGATGTATAACATAACAATTATTAGAGTCAGAAAATAACAGAGTAGTGGACGGGGATGTACCCCGAATCTGGTTTCTATATTTGAGTTCTGGGGTGACGAAGAAAAACCGAGTCCGAGAAGAACATCACAGGGTGTATAATGGGAGAAAAATTAAGAGTCGAGCAAACGTTGAAGGCAATTCACCTGTTCAGGATCCCTTAGGCTTGAATTAATGACAGATGAAATTTACAAGAGAAGCCTTATTGTCAGGAAACGAGACGCGCTAGAGTGAATCATTTAGCAATGCTCAAATGGAATTTAAACTATTAGTAATGCGTCAATCATTGGCGCGTCCGCATCTACTGCCCAATGCTTGATTCGAAGCGACAGATTTCTGTCTCGTCCAATCTTCGGCTTCTTACCTGTACTATCGTGGAAAGGCCAAATGCAACCAACATCGTTGTAATTCATCAGCTAACGCGAGAAGAGCCGCATTGGGAGATGAATGCATGGAATACTTTGCATGATTGCCGGAAATATTGAAAACAACGTACTTGACCAACGAGTTTTGTGGCTGCCTGCAATTTCTAGCACGTTATATAGATCATAGCGCATTCTGGCAGTTCAGTTTATTTGTTTCTTAGTGAATCGCGGTATGCTTCCAGCTGATTTACAGTGTGCCACCAAAATACTTTAAAAGTCACTGCGGAGAACTCCAGCGTCTTTTGCGCAAAGCTCCAGCTTCTCTAGCGAGTGGATGTTTCTTCGCTTGGCTATCGGAACTATCTCCCCGTAATAATAGTAATTTATTGCCCTATTTATATATAAAGTATGGTTGTTCAAGGTCACTTCCGTGTGTGATGATTTCCAAAAATAAGCTCAACTGCTGTAAAAGAAAATGATCAGTACGTTCTAATTGGCTATTCTCTGTTAACAATCACGGATTGTGCCCATTGATTCAGTAAGAGAACACAATTCACAACTGANAACAGCGAACAAATTCTGCACTTTCATCTGACTTGACGTTCGACGACTGGTCAAAGGAAAGTTGACCGGGAGGTATTATGTAGTGGACGAGCGGTGGTGGCCAAGTAGTTAGGTCACCAACTTGTGACCCGTGAGTCCCGGGTTCGAACCGCTCCACCGCCGCCCGACTTCCCAGGTAGCCTTTGTATGGCCGCGGCCCCCCTTCCTGATTGTTGACTGTACATTTGTATACTCAATAAATAAAAAAGGAAGTAAAAAGACAAAGACAAAGAAAAGGACGGCAAATTATTTGACATAGCATAGTCCCGCTCCATCAAGATCGCAACCGCGTTCGTGATCTCTCGCAGACAGCAAGACATCTTTTCGAAAGATACTGTAAAAGATGAATGGGATCTGGTGAGAAGCACCATACTACTAAATAGTTATTTCAAGAATTTTATCGCCCACAATTGAACTAAACGTAATTCGCCATCTAAAATACTGCAAGCGGAGAAAAAAGTGCTGTTGTCAAACTTCTTTTCGAAGGATTTATCGTAGCTGAAAATGTTAACAGTATCATCCATCACAGTTAAATCCATTCTAGTGCCTTTACGCTAGGATATGTGTTACCTACGTCTTCAAACATCCGGTACCATAACGACCATTGGATGCCTATGTAAGACCCATACATGATTATGCTGCGACTTACGCACCCTGCAACACAAGGCAATCATCTGAGAGGAAGAAAGAATACAATTTCAATCGGCACACATTTGGTAGGTATAAAACTCTGTCGAACTTAGTTGTTGCTCATTCGGTAGAGACGACACACTCGGCTAACATGTTTGGCCTTGATAATTATTTGTTGAGTCTCAGCCTGCCTCTCGAACGTGACCAACTGCAACGGTGATTCTCTCATGAAGCCTGAACTGAGTACAAAATATTTGATTCTTTCGGGTGGAAGAAAGAATAAATAGCTCGTGAATATGAAAAGATGACATGAAGTACTCAAGTATGATTACAAGATCTGGGTGTGTAACCAATTTGAAGAGATTTTCCCCTCAATGCAATAAATGTGACACAGCTCTTTTCACTTACACCTCGCAGAATTTTGTTGCGTGTAATCTATTGTACAATCTTAAGAATGAATTCCACAAAAGTATAAATCAGCCTACATTGTTTGTTCTCCTTTAGTTTTGGATAACCTCTTATTAATGCAAACGGGAATACAATCAACTGTATTCCTTATTGTTGGTTCATCGAACTGCACACACTTAGCTACCACTTGGCTTTTAGTGTCTATCTTAGTGCACAAGAACAACCTCTCTTGAAGCTGTACAACACCATTCACGATATACATTCTTACAAATTCATATATGAGGTTGACAACTTTCCCGGCCAACGGTCACGTTTTCGTTTATAAAGTTGAAGCGCAAATAGATTTGCGCTTCAACTTTTCTATTGCGCGGCTTTCAGACTTCAATATAATAGGAGGAATGAATATTCTGCAGTTTATTTCTTGATCAGTCGAACATGATCGTTGTTTGGTACTCCCGTTGAAGATACCACTTATCATCGTCACCATTATCATCAATACCCCGACACATCCTACCTCACCTCACCTCATATTCTTTCCATGTAAAAGTAGAAAACAAATGGAAATAATGACAATGCCAATAAGAAATTTCTCTCATTCCCTGGAGAGAGATAATCATGCTGAATGTATGATATTTACCGACTTTCGCAGCGTATGCATAGCTGATAGGAAATTAGTGGCGTTGAATGTGCCACAGTGCATCCAAGTAATGCCTTGTGAACGGGGGAAGGTCCAAAAGCCAGGCATATATAATCCAATTAACAGAAACCAAATGGAATTTCTGGCAATCATCACTCTCTCGCTTCACTCATTTTCGCGGATATTCATACTCAAAACATCTATTCGCTTCTATTATATGGAATTTACAGATGGCTATTTCGTTAAAAGTTTAAATAGTAACGACTGAACACATTTCGTTTTATTGAACTTCTGAAACATTAAATTTGGAATGCGCTGGCATTAATTTCGCGAATACATTACGCAAGTGGAATTAGGCGAAAAGAGATCGTGTAATCGAAGTGAATGTCAACTGCCGTAAGTTCGAATACTTCAAACTAAAACAGTGATCACATGTACAATGAGGAAAAATCTACAAATCTTCATTTTGCCTACTCATCAGTAGGCAGACGCAGATTGCAAGCATTTATTTTCCAGCTGACAGGTCATTACCACTATTATCACTAAATAAAACCACAAATCGCAACACTTTTCTCACAGATGCACGAACACGAACACGAGCATAAGAGTGGATCCCTTCGCCGCAAAAAAAGCCCAAATCGACGCGAGAGAGAAGCGACAGGAAAGAAAGTACGTAAGGTTTTATTACTTTTAATTTAATTTCTATGATACGCTATTTTACAACCGATATGGGGATGCATGCTGAAAGATTATTCATTCAAGCGAGGAGGAATTTTGCAATTACAACCGAGTCGAAAAATCACATTTCATTTAAATAACTTCTCGTATCACTTTCTTGGATCCTGAAAGTTCTCAGTAACCTTTTCAGGTTCAATGAGGCGAATGGCGGATAGCCAAATGAAATAGTGATAAGTGATCAGGTGAAGGATTAATAGCGAAAGTTTACGAAAACATTAATTCGTCGCAAAATCGATAGAGACAGAGCATGACAACTACGGAGTATATTAATGAATTTATCTAAGTCCATAACGTTGATAACATAAAACAAAACTTTGTCATTTCCAGAGGCAACCACTTACATTTTTTCCTCATTCACTTGAAAATTCCTGTAGAATGAATTACTGTGGTGTATCAGTTCATTTCCATGCTCACATTTCCAGGTTCTCATTCTGTACCATATACATCTCGGGGTTCATGAATCAAAACTGTTATCAGGATATTTTCAATGGAGCGCTAAAGATCGTCGCATTAGTTTAGTATTCAGCCGATTTATTTTTGGTGTGTCAACAATGAGCATGAAAACGAGAAAGTTTTTCTGTTTCTGGAAACCACGCTTCAAAACTTCCAATCCCAACTTTTCAACCACCAAAGTTCTAAATTACAAATAAACAAGATCAGGGTAAAAGTTTTATTTAAGGGCGTACAACTGTGTTATTCCTCAAGATAAAACATACTCATTGCAAATATATGGTTTGCGCTGGGGAATTCTAGAACAGGTACACGATAAACGATTTTGGAACTTTTCAGGGCAGATATTATCAGTAAACTGGAGCAGATTGGGGACTCACGTAAATGCTCGGACATTCAATGAATTCTCTGGATCCTTTGCCTTTTTCTTATTGATTTACTGCTATTTCTCATAGAAATACGCTGAGTCTCATGAAGATTTTTTCTTTGTTGATAAACATAAACAATTCTATCTGAATGAAGGACTGCACCCCATATATCGGAGGCTCAGAAGTCCATATTTATCACTTAACATGGTGTATATTTGCAGTAATATAAGTAAAACTGTTGGCATTAGACAATCCGACAAACGATCGCTCCGTTTCCACGCGTTTTTCTGATTACTATGTCAGTACGCACCATTCTTAAACCAATAACTTAAAACGATAGCCAAGTACATAGTTCCACAGCTGGTTAGCACTTTAACGGCCATCTATCACATTCAATTCTGAATGCTTTTTCCGGGATCTGGAGAACCAATAAAAAAAATCTAATAATAACGGTATATCTGCTTTCATCAATCCTCTTTCCTTTTTATTAGGTGGTGGAAGAGACAGTTGCCATAACTCAAGGTCCCGTGAGTCCACGTCCCAAACCACGCAGAATCAAAGAAAAGCAACATGTTGTCCCAGACGAGCTGGTCAAATTCACCGTGCACTGTGTAAGTAGATGCCCTGTTCTCCTCGACTTTCAATAGCCTCGGAATGACAAATTCCCCCCCCCCCCATTGTGCCGGACCCGATTGGCTTTATTCAAAACAATCACAGACATTTAGGTGAAAAACTGTCGAAATTTTTTACACACTATTTCGTGACGAACAGTAGATGAGTTGGATCCCACAGACACGAGGACATGTTGTTTACTCATGGAAACCGGTAACGTACGTCCCGGGAAGTGGAGAGGCGAACCTCATGAAGTATAGTATTAAGCAGGACAACAATGAACTGACTACCACCAAATTTGGGTGGGGGCTCCGCGTATTGAGTAGTGCGAAGTGTAAACCATTCCAAATTATCAATAAATAGGACAAAATCCGTTTTACTATTGAAAAGCAGCACCGAGTCAAGCCATAAAGACGAACGCTATCAGTTCCCAAATCATTTGTGGTAAGAATATAAAATGTATCACAAACAACCGATCAACTCAAGCTAGAAAAAATAGAGCAAAAAGACACTTATCGGAGTATTTATATCATAGGATAACGGGAAAAACTGATGAGCATAACCCAATCATAAATATGAACTTCCGCAATGCGTAATTAGAATCTCGACAGAAACATCAACTGTAGTTGACTACCTATTTTGATACTCCATATACTCCTTTTTCCGCACTATAGTTAACCGAGAATATGGAATGACAATTATGTGCGATTGTAGAAAATAAACGAATTGACGAACATCTGATTCAACAACACAGTGTGGAGGGAAGTTGATGCTGAGTGACTTTTAGGTATTGATCGTTAAATCTAATTTGGTTCTTCTCTCATTCATACAGCCCACGGTTGAGAAAGAACACGCACAATACACCAAGTCGCACGCAGTCACTCATGGTACACATCCCAAAGAACCAGGATCGCCTTCGCCCGCACGAGAAAAGTCACCAAAGAAGGCCATGTGTGGAACATGTGGTCTGGGTCGGAAAAAACCAAAATCGATTGGCGAACATGAACGCAGTGAGGCACCCCCAATCCGACCCAGATCTCAAACCCGAAAACTGGAAACTCGTAGTGTGACAGAATCGGCAAGAGACGAATCTCCCGGGACAAAAGTGTACAGTCAACTGCCTGACGATGCCTCGGAGGAGTTCTGTCTCCAAGCTGGACCGATAACTGACAGCAAAGCGCATCGGAAATACGATACGGCAACAGAAACGAACCGTAAACAAATTGTCAGTGAGCACAAAACCGGACAGGCCCGAACGCAAAAACATGAGAATGACGGTCACAGTACTGTTGTTGATGACAAGTCATCACGGGGCTGTTGTATCTCCTAAGTTTCTCCTCCACCCTCATATATATTATCCCTAGTCTCTGTGGCTGCTATGAATTACGTGTCTGCGTTTAACAATGAACTGTTGAGTATGCTCATGAATGAATCCTCAAAAGAACAAAATTAAAACTGTCCCACATTGAATAACATCAATACGACTTGTCACCTATTACCTCGGGTCTGTCTTCACGAAATCGGAACGGCATGAAGCACCTACACGCACAGATTGGAAAACTTGATCTTCTGTGGTCTACGAAGAAATTTGTCCAAATCTGACACCAATAAAGGGGGTGATTTGGAACGAAGTGTACTTCCTGCCAAACCAGTTGAAACATTGGGCTCTCTGAGTCTAATTCATCAGAACCAAGAGAGGCATGCATTTCTTCGGTAAAACGTGTTCGTTTGTATGAATTACGATAGAAGGCTATAGTGGCAGCGTTTACGGGTACCCTGAAGTATAAACACAAATGGGGGCTGGATAAGAGCAATTACTTGCAACTTCTGTCGGGGCAGGCAGGTCCTTTTCTCAGGATAGCGAGTTGTGAATAATGATCAGGAAAATCTCATTGGAAGGTCGGGATTTCGAGACTGGATTCTGTTTGTTTGGGTCAGGCTAACCGCTTGATCTGCTACCAAGATGTATCCGGTAATCAACGAAGTCATTTTTCATTTTCATCGTAGACTGTATCATCGCTGCAACAACTTAACGCAAATGTTCCAAGCTACTAAGGAACGCTAACAGAATGGTTAACATCTTACAAATGACATTTTCTCTCCGTTCCCTGTAAATTGCCAAAGTAAACCAGCAAACGACTCTTTGCATAAGCATTCGAATCCCGAAACTTTTGATGGATAGTTACTAGTTATGATGTTAACGGAAACAAAAACTATATACTTAATAAGGCAAGAGACTATTTGGGGGTCCATGAAAAACTCACACCTCATAGCAGATCGCTCGAATTGACTATCACGTATTCCCAAGCGGCTCTTAGCACAAACCCGCAAATAAACATTCCGTTTGTATGGTATCAGCAAAATCCTGATCCACTATCAATAACGATTGCTTGGACGTTAAATAGAGTCATGGAAACGAAAGACGAAGCAGTCAATAATCTGCCAATCACAAATGAAACGGAATACATCTTCCCATACCTTGACTAGCAGAAAAGGTATTTAAAGCCCCAATTCACCGCTAAACGTTCTTCTCAAAATACTCAGAGCAGCCTAAATGAGTATCTCACATTCCCAGTGTTCCGCGATTGACAAAAAATTATCAGGCTTTTGCCAGTAGCAACAAAACACAAGTTTGTCAAAAGAATACATACAACTTTCGACTTTCAGAACAAGGTGCTGATGACTCTGAAGTATTGAAGTCAGTAATGAGCAAGTGAGATTTTTATTGTATATCGTCGGTGTTTCAAACGTTTGCTCTCAACCCCAAGTAAAGTACGGTAGGAAAAACATTTTTCAGCGTTGCAGTATTCACACCCCATTAATGATGACACCGAATTTGCAGATCCCGTCAGTTATTTTCTCCTTTCACAACTCAATTCGATGGTGGTCGTGGGCGATATCATGAACCCTGCATGGCTTGCTATTTACGTTTACCTTCTGACCCACTTACATCTGTCCATCCGCGTGACAGAATCCTGGAATAACCTTAACTGATCACAAATTACATCATATTCACCGTCCTAAGCAATACATAAAACTCCGAAGAGTGAGCACAAAACACAATATAAAACCGAGAGAAGACAAACACTGCGAGATGTTAACGTTTCTTTTAATCTCTTCAGTCGCTACAACGTAAAACAATCTGGTATTTATACAAGCAAGTCTTGATAACTACCGTGGTTCAACAGACAATAGTCAGGGTACCAGGGGTGGGGTGGGGTGAGAAATCACCGAATAAACCTCCACTCGTTTTCAAAAGCACCATACATGATAGAATCCAACTGCAAGAGGGTGACAATATAATCCTTGTCGGTTTCAGATGACACAAGTTCCTATTCAAATAACCCCCTGAAGAATGAGCCCAGTGAACTCAATTATGGTGATCTTGGAAACCAAACATTGAGCCCACGCCTTTCGATCCAGCGAAACTACTTGCTTAAGCCAGTTTCACACGGCCGAAGTCTGGTGACGCCCAAACATACATAAATATAACTCCTCATATCCAAATGGCGACACAGATTTATTTACATTGTTAACTAATTCCATCTTCTAACGTGGGGCTCGCAGATGCATACCAAACGTTGGGCTTCATATTATCTTGATGAATGCCTTCCTAAAATTGAAGACGTTATTTCCACGCCATCAGCTCATGTGAGCACGGTATGCAATGAACTATTGGCTAAAGATAGCAATCTTTACACAGTCGTGTTGAGTGCGTGGTAGATCTGTGCAATAATAAAAAACTCTGCCCCTAGTAGATAGTCACGAAAGAGAAGTGTGGGGAATTGATGTGGGTTTAGATTCCAAACCCGAAGGAATGTGGTTCATATCCCGGATTGGTACGTTGAATACTCACAACCAATGGACCCCAAAAAGTTCAAAACAGCTGTCCAGTGACCTTTGTCGGGTTCCACAAATGAGAATCATTAAAGAGGTAGGAAAAATAACGTATTCGCTATAGGCTGAACCCATATCCTAGAGCACTAGACTTATTGGGTACATGTAAGAAATAGAGTGATTCTAAGCAAAGACAACACACCGGAACGAGTATACCTTTCTCGTCGAAATCACACATAGGTCGACCGAATTTCCCCATCATCAGTATGTAGTTTCTCTTTTTTCATTACGGTGTGCATGAATGATGGTTCTATATTGTCGGTTAAAAGTATTTCCTATCTCTTACGCATTTCGCTTACTCTCAATAAAGAGAAATCCGCTAGACCCCCTTAATTTTGCTTAGTAAATCCTCTATCGAAAGCACGGTGTTCGATTATGATGATAGCAAATGAGGACCCCATGTCGAGCGATAATTAACTCGTGGAAATTAAATCACATTACCGAGGCGTACACATGCACAGATGCGCTCACTCCCATTTTAATCAGATCGAGTCCTCTTTATTGCTGGAACTGTTTCTAGACCATGATTCGGTTTCTTTCGCTCTTTGTGAGTTGCTTATCAATGGTTATATTCAACATGATTCCCGCAGCGAAGATAGACCCGATATAGCCACAAGCTTAGCAAACAACTCGTACTTCAAACGCAGATATGGTATAGAATCATAATCTTTTTAGGAGATGAGAGGGGTTGCAACCCACCGATCAAGAGTGATCGCACCCTGCAAAAGCGCGTATGAATACAGCAGAGCACACTTGAAGTTTATGCAGGAGGTCTCTTATTCAAAAGTTAGGAAAAATTTTATGAGTGGCCACCGTGCCCTAACTTCCGAGGCCAACAGTAAATTGGCATTGTTACTTGGATCCGGTTGACGCAGATGTCATGAAAAACAGCGAGGTACCATTGCAGCAGATCCAGAACAGCGATAGAGTACCTAGTGGGACGAATGCCATAAATTTGGTCCACCCCATATACCTCATGTGATAGAAGTTTACTACCTGATCATAAATGACGCTCACAAACGTCGCATGAAATCATTCGAGACTCAAAAATGCAAAAATAAGACATCAGACGAAATATAAAATCAGCGACCATGGCGCACCCAAGGCATTCCACAGTGCTCTACTTGTTGTCTAGTACTCATTGTTTTGCAACTGCCGATCTGTGATTCAGAGCAGACGTGGTGCACCAGACCGGTAAATCTATTGCTTACCCTCCAAACCCCAGTCTTCTTACCATAATGAAGAAGGTAATATAGGAAACCTTTCCGGTAACAACTAATGAAACTTATCAGTATGCGAGAAGAGAACAAATGTCAGGGTAGTTGGATGGGGAAAACTATCCAAGGCTAATGAGGAAAAACCTGAAACTGATAATCCCGCTAATCCTCACTAGAGTTCGCACTAACAGATCTACGTCCCCGTGTAGAGGCCCCGAAACTTCTGTGTAAATTCGGACGCACGCTTACTTCTTGGAAAATTGATCCGACCTGATCTCTGGATTCACCGTTGCCAATATTGTACCAGTTAACTATTGGAGAGGCTCAAGTTGCTCTGGATGTTTCGGTTGTCAGCAGTCGAATGCTCTGGTACAAACCAGGAGAGAAATCATGTCAATCGAAGTCGTCAAACAACGAGAACGGGTGGGAAAAAATGATATATCCGTACTGGTAGGGATCGCTCAATCGATATAGGACACTGTCATAGTAACATGAAGGTTATATGTTCGAGCCCCACCCCGTGCTTCCAAGCAGCAGCAATCTTACAAAAAATCGACAGTGCCACCATAAATTAAGCAAAAATAGAACGCAGTCAGTTACTGTTTTGATTGCACAACCCAATCTTAGATGAATCACTTTTTGCTCTCAGTTAGGACGGTGCTGAATCCCAGAACAGAGATCGGAGGAATTGTTAGCAGTGGCAAACGAAGCAACAGTTCATTTCGCTCTAAAGCAAGTTCATACCTGGCACGAGTATCGCGCTTTTGCTGGGTGATGGCCAGAACCCGTGGTGAAATCCGTTTCTGTGGGGTAGGTGGCAATCAGGCGGGATGAGTTACCGATACGGCTAAACAACACCGAGCACTGGCCACGAAAACGCAATAGGTGCGGCGGAATTCGCTCGGACAACAAATGTCATTCGGCAATATCATGATGCCAGGGCTATCGGATGAGCGAAAATCGTCCTACATCGTAAGACAGTACCCCGAAAAAGAATCAAAAAGTGCAATAAGTGAATGTGGAAGTTGGTGGTGACGTGATCGGCAACGAGTATTTTAGGTTGAAAAATGACCAGCGAAAGCCCATTTCGAGTTTAGGTAGTAATTCAAAGCGGTCGTAGTTAAGGTTTGGCCAAACCGCAATATGTGACTATGGTCACACGATCCCATTGCAGTGCCGTGAGCAGGATGCAAACTTCCTCCAATGTGGACCTAATAGAAGAAACCTCACTGACGCAACAAGACTATAAAAGCGCCATTTACGTACAACTCACTGGTTGCAGAAAAACCCACCAAACTCGATTGGCAGATCATCGCTTATCTCACCCAACCGTTCGTGC